CGCGATATCCAGCCTGTGTGACCGGGGCCTATGTCAGCCAAAGAGCTTTTTGCTAAGAGTTAAAGCCTAGAACAAGGAAGAATATCTGGCACACATGGACAGGGGAAGGCCAGATCTTCACTCATAAACCTTCTCTATTTTTTTTCTCTTTTTTGGTACTTTAAGCTGTTCTTGGGTCCCTGCTGGGGAGAAGAACAGGTTATAAATAAACAAAACAATTGAATACTGGCTCCAAGGATCAGGGAAAAGTGTTAGCAAAACCAACATCATTGCTGTCATTTATTTTAAAGGAGAAAGTGAAACAACTGAGCCTAGACAATATCTGTCTCACTGGGGTTGCCTTGCTGTTACTTTGCCTGGCTGCCATCCTGTAGTACAGTAAATCTGCCGATATGACATCAGAATCACATGTGTAAATTCAGTAATCAACAACAAATGTCCCTGCCTGGCAAGTGCCTCTATTCTTCCAGTGAAAGCCCTGCTCTTAGGATGGAAAGCTGGATTATACTAGTTTCTACTGGTGCAAGGGGGAACATGTGGCATTCTTGCACAATTGTATGTGCCTTGCAGTCCTATTTTATGGGTTTTTGTCTCCTGATTCCTTGCAAAGCCTTTTTGGTGGTCAAAGGAGCTCCTTTTGTGCTAGTTTAAAGCTGGTAGCCTACAACTTGCTGAGCAGCTAGCTATGCAGCAAAGGACAGGTGTTTTTATCTCATGTGTTGGGCTTCTGTGTTTTAAAACCCCCTAAACAGTACAGTCTGGGGGGGGGGGGAGCACGTTTTCAATCTTGTCCAAGCCTTTCCAATGCTGACCTGTGCTTCCTTTGCTTTATATAACTGTCTGGGCGGCCTTCTGATACCTTGTGGTTTCAAGAATGGTCCTTCACTTTAGAATGTATTCTGCCATATGTATGCCGTCTCCTTGCATCATTCCCTGTCATTCAAGTGTATTCAAAACATCTTTTTGTTCTATCCAATTTCTTTTGCAGATTATTGTGCAACACCATGATAAAACATTTCCAGTTTTCCATTTTACTGATCAGTCTTCATGACCATATAGAGCTGCACTCTGTAGGTGTCTATACATTATTGGAAATAATTGAGTTCTCATCAGCAGATGTCTCTTATGAAGTCTGTTTTGCCATACTTAGTGTGCTCTAGATTTTCTGTCCTGTTTCCATGCTTTCCAAATCCTTACACTTGCTTAGTTTGCTTCTTTTTTGTACTTTTTAAAAGGGCTTTCTTGTCACTAATACTTTTTTATTTGCTAAAAGTAAATATGTTTTAATGGGGCGGACCCTATCTAGCAAGAGTGGAATAGCACTGTTGGATGTCAACTGTCATGCCCTTGGGAGCTGGTGTTTCTCCCTGAAACTGTGTGGATGCAAAATGGGGTGGTTTGCAGTAGGAAGAGTGAACTGCTGAAAGTTGCCCTTTCTGCTGGCAGAGGATCTAATCCTTTTTTTTTTGCCCCCCCAAAGGGGAATTTTTTTATGTTTGCATTTTCTACACAATACATATATATGGAATGGGGAAAGGAGTACTAATGCCCTATCACTATTACTATGGGAAATGGGTCAGGGAAGTCTAAATACATATAATCTATTGGATAAGGGGAGGAAAAACTACCATTCTATTCTCAATCTCCTACTGGATATGGGGAAGGGGTAAAGACTAATACAAATCGTGATCTAAAAAAGCTTAAAAATAGACCTTTTTAACCTATTAGTACAGGTTATACAGAGATTAGTTCGATTATAAAAAGTATAAAGTTATTAGCTTGTCACAATTACTGCCCTTAGCACTCATGCTTTAGTTTTAAGAGTCTTTTCTTATTAGATTTCTTCATTTTCTGCACTTAGGAAGTGGCCGCTCCTTTCTCCGATTCAGATGATTCTGATGACGAGGAAGTTTGGCTTGTTGAGTCCTGTGAGTAGGACTCCTCATCTTCTTCTTCTTCCTCCACATCCATTTTTAAATTCTTTTCCTTCTGCTTCTTTTTTACATTAAGCATTTGATCCAAAAATCTTTCCGCTTTTGGAACAGAGTCAATTTTATATTTTTTATCCTGGTAATTAAAACTCAACCCTTCCGGAAATAGCCATCTATACTCTATTCCCTTTTTTTGCAGAGAGAGAGTAAGCATCCTGTATAGTTTCCTCTTTTTTCTTACTTTGAATGGGATGTGTTTCAAAATTTTTATCTCTTCATTCTTGATTTTTAAGGATTTCCCCATTGTTGACTTTAGCACCAGTTCCCTGGTTGTATTCCATGGAAATGTAGAACATACATGGATCTTTCTGGCTGGAGCTGTATTAGTTGCGTTTTATCCGAGGATCTCTCCTTCTCTGCTTCATCTCCTCTTTTATTAATACTCTCAGTCTGTTTTTCCATCTTTTTCAACGTTTTCTCAGTTGCTGTAGTTCTCTTGTCCATTTGCTTTAGCTGTGTTTGCACATTGTCCAGTTTGGTGTTGAGAGTAGTCATCTGTTCCATTAGAGGGTGCAGTGCATTTGCTAACAGCGAAGAAAGGTCTGTAGATGCTTCCTGGTTCTGGGAGGGAGTCGTTGGAATGTTATTTCCGGTCACCAGTTTTTTCTCCGGCGCTCTCCATCCTCTCCCAGCCATAATATCAATAAGAAGTAAGTTTTCCAAAACAAAGCAAAAGTTATGTTTTAATTCCGCTTCGTATATTTTAGCAGCTTTTGCATTCGCTTAACTTCTTATGCGCTTCGTTTGGCTCAAAGTCTCTTTATTTTCACTTTAAAACCGTTTTTTTACAGTTTACTCCTATGGGGGGGGTTGAAATCTCCTCCCCCTGCGCTTCAAACTTAGGGGCTTCCAATTACTACCAAGGCTCCTGTGACGACCCCTTATCTGGGGAGGTCTGGTTTCCCTTTAAAAGTGTTCTTTATGTTTTGTTCTATTGGGTATATCCGGCTGCCACCAGGAAATTTTAGGCTTTCCAAACCTATATACTTTATTTTGACTATCACTGGGTATGTAGGTCGAGGTTTTAGGCTTTCGAGGTACTAATGTGGTGCCTGAGGAAGTATGTCTTTCAGAGCTGGTATGCTTAAATAAAATTAGATTTATTGGAATAATTTGTAAATAAAAGAGTATAACAAGGTAACCGGTACTGTGAATATTTTGAACAATTGTTTGGTGTTTCACATAAGATCTGCTCCCTTTCTGTTAGGGATATTTCAGGTAACTTTGTAACTTTAACTCAAGGTCATGTAAGTTCACTGTTTCTCTCCAGGACATACAGCCTTTCTTAAACTTTGTCTTCAATTACTTTCATTTACATTTTCCTATTCTCTCAGAACAACCTCAGCTGTTCTTAACTACACACACACAGACTGCTTTTCTCACAGACTTCAGAACGAACTAACTCCTTAACTGTCTTCATCAACTGTCTAAACTGTAACTCCTGACAGACGCACATTTTCATCCAGTCATAATCATTTCCAAAACCCCTCCCCCTTTCTGCCAATCACCAATCACATACTCTTGCCTGTTTCAACCACTCTAGACTCTCTCTCCACCATGCAACCAAACTTAAAGACACACACACACAAATAAAACAAGGACTCGTTACAGCTCCATTTGCTTATTTTTCACCTGAGCTTTGCTTAACTCACAGTTTGTAGCCTTGGAGATCTTTTGGAAGTCTTTTTAACAAGTTGGTTGTGATCGCTGGCTCCGGCAGTCGTCTCTAGGCGCCATGCTGGCTCCGTGGCGATGGTACCTATCGGGGAAGAAGGTGAGCCTCAATTCCTCGGGCGTCCCCTTGGAAGAGGCTCTCCTCAGCTCCCCAGGCTGGGGGTCTCCTATAGAGACCCCGGGGGGGTCTGGGACGAACTTGAACCCCTCTTGTCAGCCGGGTCTCGGCACATCTACATCCGAGCGAGACGAGACGCGTCTGA